ACAGTCTGCTGTAGAGAATATGATGTCAGGAGTGCCCTAGCACCCACCCAGGAAACGTAATCAAACCATTTAAGAAGGGTTTAACAACTTAAGTTTCTGTACTGCATCTTTGGTATCAGGAAGGTTCTGTGCTTTGTTAAACCCTGCAGTGCCCTGAGAAAGCTCAGCCAATAGAAAATGAGCACAGGAGGCTGGTGGTCCCCAGGTGAGTGATCAAACTGTTTTGGAATGGCATTCTGAGCACCAAAACCACTGCATCAGGATCTTGGAGTGTCGTTTAATTGTAAGTTTGCTGCCAGCCTAATGCCAGTAGTAACTTTTTTCATTATCCACGGGGACAGCTTTAGGTAAGCTTACCTTCCTGCCTACTCTACAGGTATAACATGCAATGACACCATGTGACACAAATGCAATGACTCCATGTGACAGTTATGCTTTATAGGAAGTTTATGCCAGCATTTTAATACTACTAATACGGTTTAAGTGGATTATTATTATTTTTTAAACAACAGAGTCAATTTGTGTAAATTAAATCTGTGAAACATAGGTTATATCATGTAATCTTACTCACGCATCACTTACACAGGCTACAAGCACTGCCAGCACCAATAAACATTAATAGCCTGTGCGCCTTCCTGATTAACTGGCTGCCTGACTACCTCACGTTACTAGCTCTATTATTTTGTAGAACAGACTGGGAAAACCATTTTTTTGCAATAATCTTTCAAGCTAAGTTACCAATGTAAATATTTTCTAGTAAAGCAGCATTTCTAAGTGGCTTTTCATGTTTATTTTAGTTTCTTGTGTATATATATATATATATATATATATCTACCAAGCCTTAATAGCAAACCAGTAGCCAACCTCATGCTGATGATTTGTATTAACAATGAAACGGCTGTCCATGAGTGGTTCACTGGCTTTGCATCTTTTCCTGAGTTGTGTTTCAAAGCTGTTGTGTTTCAAAGCTAAACAGCAAACACAGACTCAAAGGAATCCATGTTTAAAATGGAATGAGGCAAAAATGTGATTCTTTGTTAAACTAATTTGCATATGCCCACCCAGAATCCTTTGCGGTAGTAAGATCACTGCAAATTATTATTATTATTATTATTTTATTTATATAGCGCCATCAAATTCCTCAGCGCTTTACAATGGGTGGACGAACAGATATGTAGTTGTAACCAGACAAGTTGGACACACACGCACACAGGGTCTTGAGGGCCCTGCTCAATGAGCTTACATGCTAGAGGGAGTGGGGTAAAATGGCACAAAAAGGTAAGGATAGTATTAGACTAGTGACAGTTGCAGAAGAGGAATCAGTCAGGAGCTATTAACAGTTTAATTCATACGCTTTTATGAAGAAGTGGGTTTTTAACGATTTTTTGAAGGAGTGGAGACTGGGTGAGCATCTAACAGAGGAGGGAAGCGAGTTCCACAGGAACGGTGCAGCCCTCGAGAAATCTTAAAGGCGAGCATCAGAGGTGGGAGTACGGACAGAAGATAGGCGTAAGTATTCAGCAGATCGTAAGGGCCTAGACGGGACATACTTGTGTATAAGAGAGGATAGACCACTGAGAAGCGGATTACAGTAGTTAAGGCGAGAAAGGACAGTGGAATGGACCAACATCTTAGTCGCATCTGGCGTTAAGTATGGGCGGATACGCGCAATGTTTTTGAGATGGAAATGACAGGATTTGGTGATAGATTTCACATGATTCTTGAAGGAGAGGTCGGAGTCAAAGAGAACACCTAGGCAGCAAGCCTGCGTGGTGGAGCTGATGGTAGCACCGTTGACTTGGAGGGAGACAGACAGACACAGGAGTAACAACACTTGAGGGAGGAAAGACCAGAATTTCGGTTTTGGTCAAGTTTAGTTTAAGGAAGTGGGCAGCCATCAAGTGTGCCAAATTTGTGATTTCTGTGGGAAAAGCAAGTCTTATGGCTTGACTGGTGTGCAGATTTATGTTTAACATTGTATTAACTATCCACAGACTTTAGGTGGAAGGGGTTTTCAATAACAATTTTCCCCCACCATAACCTTTTAGGTTTTTGCTTTCTAAATATATACAGGGAGTGCAGAATTATTAGGCAAGTTGTATTTTTGAGGATTAATTTTATTATTGAACAACAACCATGTTCTCAATGAACCCAAAAACTCATTAATATCAAAGCTGAATATTTTTGGAAGTAGTTTTTAGTTTGTTTTTAGTTTTAGCTATGTTAGGGGGATATCTGTGTGTGCAGGTGACTATTACTGTGCATAATTATTAGGCAACTTAACAAAAAACAAATATATACCCATTTCAATTATTTATTATTACCAGTGAAACCAATATAACATCTCAACATTCACAAATATACATTTCTGACATTCAAAAACAAAACAAAAACAAATCAGTGACCAATATAGCCACCTTTCTTTGCAAGGACACTCAAAAGCCTGCCATCCATGGATTCTGTCAGTGTTTTGATCTGTTCACCATCAACATTGCGTGCAGCAGCAGCCACAGCCTCCCAGACACTGTTCAGAGAGGTGTACTGTTTTCCCTCCTTGTAAATCTCACATTTGATGATGGACCACAGGTTCTCAATGGGATTCAGATCAGGTGAACAAGGAGGCCATGTAATTAGATT